TGAGCCTCCCCACACCCATATCAACGCAAAAAAGGTAGTGAGTGAGCTGAAAAATACGAGCGAATGTAGGTCAAGCCACTGCGATTGCAACCCGAAAACCCCTTTGATAACCCCCTTCCCGTTTTCCGTTCCCTACAATTTTAAGATTATTTTTTTTCTCCTCCCTTTTTGTGCAGGTTAGCAGAAGAAAAACCCGGACCGGCAAGGAGGATCGGCAGAGTCATCGCACTTGGAGACCCTTCTACCGATAGGGTTTCAATTTTTTCCTTTTTCAGCCAATAGAGACCCCTTAACTTGGGTTTTGGCAAGTTTTCATACAAAACTGGCCAAAATTGGCCAAAACCGACAAAAAACGACCATGCCAAGAGAAACCACCACCTGTGGGCGGCGGAGCTAGTGCTAAAGCACGGCACCGCCGCCATGCCAGAACCTTAAATTGGCCGAAAAAGTTTAAAAATACCTATTTTGTCCTTTTAGAGTATTTTTAAATACATAAAGAGTATTTTTAATTTCTACATAAAAATTTTGGGACCGCTAGGAGGCGCAGTAAATAGTACAGTATTTCGGACACTGATATGAGGTAAGAATCTCTCACCATTTTCTCCTCTATGGTAAATTGAACCTTAATAATCAATAAAATTATCTTTTGTGAAAATTAAAAAATAAAACTAATTACATGTCACCAATGAAGCCGAAACTATTCAGTGTATAATTGCCTTAACTTATTCGTATTGCCTATTTATTTTCTTATACTACCTAAATTGTTTATTATTACACCGTGCACTTTAAATTATTAATTTTAATTGTTTTCTTATTTATTGATTACCTAACTGTTATTTTTATCTATTGACTGATTTGAAATAAATGCACTAATCATATTTTTTAATTGTTAAACTATAAATTTGCATTATTTGCTTTCGTTTTATTGATCTGTAAATATGAAGATGTTGGTATGCGATTGGTGATTGGTTGTAACATGAATCTATGTATGAAAGGCTTACTGGGTACCCTAGGAAAAGGTAAACGGACCTGATACATAGGAAAAATCCTATCGTAAATATTACCTCAGTCAAACGGGACTAAGAAGTCCCATACCGGAAGGGATTGAGAGATATAGTTCATCCTCATACCAGATGGGTATTGAGGTGGCGACATATTTGACGCCCATTACCAGACAGGGTATGAGAATGACTGATTAATAAATAAATTTGATATTAGGTTCACGTGTAAGGGGATATCCATATGGACCCTCAGGGGCACTGGTAAACAAGTAAATTTATTATTATGACTCATTTTAAAATGAAATCAAAATACGATTCGGGTTATTGCTTTCGTAGGTCGATTTTGAAAACTCATAAATGTAAGTATGGAACAACATTTTTATATAAACAAATTATATCG